ACTCTGGCTAGCAAACAGCCCCGACCCGATCCGATCCCCCAATGGGCATCCCGTATTGCATTTAACATTAAAATTTGTTTAACACACAAATAAACCTTAATGAATGGGTGGTTGACGGGTGCTCTGGTGGGGTTTGCTCCTTCTTTCCTATAAAAAAATATATCTTCTCTATCTCCCCTCCTTCTTTTTTGCGTTTGTTACTCTCTTGTAACACCTCTAATCTTCGGCACTTACATGACCTTATTGTGTTGCAAGTGCCGTAAAATTCTTACAAAAAACAACAACAACAAATAATCACTGACGTGCTTCTCTTTCTACAGTTATCGAGATCTCCACCATGGCTCTCTGCCGGGTACCTGCTCTTGTGAGCAGCAGCTGGCTCAAGCAGAGGCTCCCTGCCTACCTGTCTCAGCTCGGAAAAGGCGCATCATCTAGCCCCGGCTCTGGGAACGACGCGCCGTTGCGCCTGCTGGACACCTCCTGGGTGCCTGAGCCTGACGTGGACGGCTACAAGGAGTTTTACAGCAAAAGCCACATCCCGGGAGCCGCGCACTTTGACCTGAAGACGCTGAGCCCCAAGAGGCCAGACTCCCCCATCGACTGCCCGATCCCAGACCTGAAACTGTTCCGAGAGTACGTGGAGAGTTTTGGCATCACTAACAACACGCACGTCATCGCGTACGACAGCCTCAACACGCGGCCCTCCGTGCGGACCTGGTTTCTGTTCAGACTTTTTGGTCATGACCAAGTGTCCATTCTCAACGGTGGAATGGTTCAGTGGGTGAAAGAAGGAAACGACGTGACGGCTGAAGAACCGGACGCTTCCCAGCTGAGATCTGGTGAACCTTTCAATATCAACTTCAGATCTGACCTGCTCTTAGATTATCAAGCCATGCTAAAAGTCGTAGACGCTCAATCTGCCCAACTTTTGGATTCCCGCCCTGGTGTCGGCGGGTTTTACATCACAGACGACGACAAATCTGGGGGACACATGCCAGGGGCCAAAAGTTTGCCTTTCCCTATCGTGTTCAACAAAGACGGAACCTTCAAATCCAAAGAGGACCTGGCTGCCCTCTTTGCGAATAACGGGGTTGATCTGAACCAGCCAATCGTTGCGACTTGCCAGCGAGGCATGACGGCCTGTGCTTTGGCGGTGGCGGGACATGTTCTCGGAGTGGACAACATCCCAGTCTACAACGGCTCGTGGCTCGAGTGGAGTGCCATTGCTGAACCGAGGAATATTGTGCAACGAAAGAAAGAATGAGC